GGGGGGAGGGGGGAGAGAGTAGGGCTGCCAGGGCGAGGGCCGGGGCCGGCCGAGTGGAGGTTGTGTGTGAGTCGTTGTACACATTCGGGTTTTGCATGCGGCCCTGGTGAGTTTGCGGCCGCACGCCGCTCAGCTCGCGAGTGCTCCGCCCCAATGCGGGATGCGCGCCCAGTCGACAGCTTACTCTGCGTTGGGGCCCGTCGGCCCCGCTGACCTCCCTTTGTATGTGGTGCGGCGCCTCGCTGGGGCCGCCCCCATGTGTCAAAACGGCGCATGGTTGCCTTTGGTAACAGCCAAGCGTCGCGCGTCTCGCCGGCAGCGCCAGGCGGCCCGAGCGCACACGCGAACTCTGGTTTCAACTCTAGTGGGCTGTGGCTCGCCGCGTGCACCCCTTGCTGTAGCGCCGCTGCGCAGCACTTGGCAAGGCGGCAGTACCCACTGCATTTGCCACTCATCCTGTTCAGGCCGTGGCGCCAATAAGTCTGGCTTTGCCAAGACCGCACGCATGTCGTGTCACGCGCACCCCTCCTTGCGCGAGGGGGTGCCGTCATGTCACCCGTCCATCGAGGCCGGCAGGCCTCAGTTGGGTGGCACAGCCTGGTGCTGCTGCGAGGCCCTTGCGTGGCTGCAGTGCACGTCGGTTTGCGGCATGCGTACGTCGTGTCGGCATGGCAGCGTGGCGGGGGCCGTGCACGCAGCCGGTCGGCGCGGCCGTCTGCGCGTGCATCTGTCCTGCATGTGCATTTCTAGATTTCCTTGGAAATCAATCATCAACACCCGCCGATTCCGGTGGAATGTGTCTGTTGGACTGTGGACTCTGCGTGGTGGCGGCCCTCAGCAAGGTGCCTGGAGCGCTCGTCACACCGCGTCGGCATGCTGTTTTTGTAAACACAATGTGTCTGTTGGACTGTGGACTCTGCGTGGTGGCGGCCCTCAGCAAGGTGCCTGGAGCGCTCGTCACACCGCGTCGGCATGCTGTTTTTGTAAACACAATGCGCTGCAAAGTATGGATTCAAACCACGTCTGTCCGCAGGTGGTAGGAATCTCTAGGTGGCTGAAGGTGCCTGGTCACCTACATCAACCTGGATGATCTGTAAGCTGCACAGCACTGCCGCTTGTCTGAATTGTCCTTGCTACCATTGTGAGAGCCAGAACACTCCAAGACGCCCAGCCTGAAAGTCGGCAGCCGCGCTGCAGCAAGGCCCCACTCCTGCCGGATTTGTTGCAAGCGGCTGTGCTGTTGCGACTGCATGGAGTATGAGCTGGGCCTGGAGCCTGTTGCGCCGCAGCGTGGACGCCCCAGCAGCTGCGGCCCCATGAGCACACTCGCAGGCGTCAACAGGCAAGTCGCACACTCGAGCACATCTCACGCGCTACACACGGATGCCAGGGGCAATGACTTAGCAGGTTCCTCTAGCAATCATCATCAGCAGAACCATGAGCTCCATGTCGAATACAAGCCTCCGATCGTGCCTGCACTCACATGCACCGCAGAGCACGACGGGCGCAGCGCGAGCCACGCAGCCCCAGCAGTACACGGCCAGCGCGGCGTATGCGCAGAAAATTCACATGCAGCATGCGCCAAAACCGTGAAAGCAATGGCACGTGCATGCGCACACGAGGCGGGGACTGTGGCCGCGTGCACGATCATCAAGTGACCCTTGGATGGAGACCTAGTTTCCGAAAAAAGAAAGGTGGCGCGTTGCCCCGGTTCCGGTTGCAAGCATTACACGCCTGAATAACAGAGCATTCTTTCGTCATCGTCGTTGCAGCAAGGGGGAAGCAGCAACGCACGGCACGCACATGCACCGAAGAGGCTTCCACGACGCCACGTGATTGTTAGGAAAGATTGAGACGCATGCAACATCGCTGTAAGGCTGCCGGCGCGTGACCGGGCCGCGGCTTCTTCACATCATAGTGCTAGAGAGTTGTAGAATAGCCCCGGGGCAGCAGAGACACATGGAACGATAGAACATGGGCACATGCGTATCCGTACCAGTGGTGGGCGGCGTCGGCCGGCCATCCGCGGGCCGCGTCGCAGTTCGAGTTGACCTCCCGGCGCTCAAGCCGTGCGAGGCCAATGGCGCAGGGCAGGCCGCTCACCAATGGCCGCAGAGCAGGCCTCTGGGCAAGGCTCTGGCGCAACTTCGCACCTTCAAGGCGAGCGGCAGCCAGCGCTTCCGCCTCGCCGCGCTCCTGAACGGCGCACCACCTGCCGACGGAGCATGCGACGCCGCAGCTGTGGCCGGCGCTGAACCCCGCGAGCCGACGCCCGCGACGCGCCCCGGCGGCGCCTCCGCACTCCGCCTGGCGCTCTTCAGCCCCCGCCTGCACGATTCCGCTCAATCCGTCAGCGGCAAGCCCCGCGGCGGCGGCGGCGCCGCCCGCCGCCGGCGCCCCCTCGGCGCGCGGCTGCGCGGGCGCGACGCAGCAGCGGCCGACCCCTTCGCCGCCACGGCCGCTGCGGACGGCGGACCGCCGCAGCGCGTCGCGCTGCGCGATCTGGTCACCGGCGAGATCATCCCAGACTTCGGTGTCGACGGCGTCTTCGATGTGCTGCAGCTGCTCGGGTCTGGCGGCGCCGGGTGCACCTATCTGTGCCGCGACCTGGCGACTAAAGACCTTGTGGCTGTGAAGTTCATGCAGCGGCCGCTGCCCAAGCTGGCCGTCCCGCTGCTCCTGGTGCGCCGTGCATCGCGCCGCGCCACGCCGCGGCGCGTCGGCTCGGGGGCGTCGGGGCGTTGCGGGTCCCGGGCAGCATCGGGGCGGAGAATACGCAGCAGGAGGACGGGCGCCGCCCGTCCGGCCGCACGGTGCTGTAGAGAGGAGCACGCCACGGGCGCCCGGCTGGCAGCCGCAAGCCCGGCTGGCGCCCCCCGCCCTGCTAGCGGTCCGCACGCAGCCCCTGCGCGCACGCGCCCGTTTCGAGGGCGCGCGGCCCCCCAAACACCCACTTCGTCGGCGCCCACCTCATCTGCCGCCGCCGTCACCGCCCCCGCCCGCCCACAACCACAGCGCGAGGTGGACCTGCAGTCGCGGCTGGGCCAGGGCCACCCCAATGTGGTGCAGGCCCACGAGCTCGTGCTCACAGAGAACCACCTCGCACTGGTCATGGAGTTTGCGCAGGGTGGGCGGGCCAGTGCGTTGTGCACGAGCGCCCGCGCTGTGTGGGTG